CATATATAAATCCCATAGAAATGGGGTTGTTCTGTCTATATTCTTCTGACACTTGCTTTTTTCACTTACATTGTGTCTCCGACATCCATTCCTGTTGTGTGAAGCTGTGACTCGTTCATTATCATGGCCGTATAGTATTCCAGTATGACGTTGTAGCCCAATTGGTTTATCATTCCCTGTTGATGGACATTGGGTTATCTCTGGTACATATGGGCACAGGTTCCTCTAGGGTATAAACCCAAGGCAGGAATTGCAAGTTTATGGTAAATGCATGTCTTCAATTTACAAAATGATTCCAACTTCACTAAAAATTACTGGATAGTTTCCAAAGTGACCCAGCGCAACTCTTTGTAAGTTACACTGTCACCACAAAGTATAAAAAGTCCAGTTGCTCTACATCCTCACCCAACCTTGGAATTATTAGACTTTTAAATGTTGGAAAACGAGGATAGGAATCACAAGCTCAGATGCCTTGGGGGCCACTAAAGCAACGAGTGATTGGGTTGGGGGCACAGCAAGGGAGGTGGGGACTACAGCAAACTGGAACACGTGCATCCTGTCTGAAAGAGGTGGCCTTGGCTCTGCTCCCTGACTATGGTTGGGGGGGAATGCAGAATCCAGGGCTGCCAGAGTTCTGGAATATTCCAAAGAAGCCAGAAACCCAGATTTTTACATGAAATCTGATTTTGAAATGTCAGCAACTATTTCAGATTTGTTTAAAACACTGTTTTGTACCAAGTACATTTGTGTGCCAAACCCTAACTAATAGATAGAATTCGTTACAATTCAATTCCACGTAATTTATAGCTATTAGAATTTACTGGGACTTTTTCAAGTGACCTCAACTCTCCATGGCTTAAGTGCTTTATAGATTGTCATTCCTTATTGGTGGGAGCTCACCATTCTCCCTTCTGATTTATTATTCAGAAAGCTCAAATTTCCAGAAGCTCACTGTCTCAGAGGAACACGGGTAATGAGGTGCTGTTCCGATCTGCTGTTAAGTTCAACCTTATTCATTTCAAGCTACTGGAAGAAATCATCCCCTTCTTCATCACTACAACCTTCCTATAACTTGTTTTCCACTCTGGATGGATTCTTTCAGAATATAAATCAGATGATGTTGCATCCCTTGCTTGAGCCCTTCAATCCGTACCCGCCATCCTCATAGACAGTCCAAACTCTTGACCAAGGGCCCTTCATTGCATCTTTGCCACATACTTTGCATCCCCCCTCCCGACCCATCCAACTTCTCAAGCTCAGTCTCAACTCAGGATGTTTGCACAATGCTGTTCCTGTTCATTATTTGTCTTCCCTCTAATTTTCCATGGCTGGTTCATTCTTAGCCTCCAGGTCTGGCATAAATGTCACCTTCTCACAAAGGCCTCCCCCGACAACTTACCTACATCACTCCCTCTGGTGCCCTCCCGCAGGGCCCCCTGTGGATGTCCTTCTTTGCACTCCACCATCTGGAGTTGTCTGACGCATTTGTGTTCGTGTTGCTAACGACCTCCCCACCACGGGGTCAGATTCTGTTCCCAGCCCTAGGTGTGGGGCCTGGAATATTAGTAGCTTTTGTGTGAAGCACCTACTGTGTGTGGGACCCATGTCCTGGGGGGCATTGTAGGGGGAGACAAAGCATCACCCTGGCCCAGACCTCAGGGAGACAGGACTGAGAAGAGGAGGTTGAATCATCCTTAAAGAGCCACAGTGCTGGGGCGCCTGGGTGGCTCAGTCGTTAAGCGTCTGCCTTCGGCTCAGGTCATGGTGCCAGGGTCCTGGGATCGAGCCCCGCATCGGGCTCCCTGCTCGGCGGGAAGCCTGCTTCTCCCTCTCCTACTCCCCCTGCTTGTGTTCCCTCTCTCTCTGTCTCTATGTCAAATAAATAAAACTAAAAAAAAAAAAAAAAAAAGAACCGCAGTGCAGGGCAGAAAACACCATACATTGTGCAAGGCAGGGGCGCGGGCCAGGTGTCCTGACACGGCTGAGTTGGCTGTTTGCAGCTAGCATCTATCCCAATTGGTTGCCGTGCGCCCTGACAGTTGTTAAGTAGTCTGATGTTCTTCCCTAGATAGAGGTAGAGGTGAGAGTAAAGTCTGGCAGAGAAGAAACGACTTAGGGGCAGATGAGCACTGGGCACAGGGTCAGAATCCCAGCCCTGTGGTCTTGGGAAGTCTCCTTGTGGACAAGGGATGGACACCCCGTTCCCAGAGTCAGGGAGAAGGCAGCACCCTCCTATGTGTGAAAGAAGTTGATCGATGCTATGATGCACGGGTGGCGAGTCCTGCCAGGTGCTACAAGGCCTGGAGGTTGGAGTGTAGTCTGGGTGGGGTAGGGAGTGGGGGGTGCCTTCCTGGCAGATAGAAGGGAGTGAGCAGGGGCCAGGCAAGCAGCGGGGGGAGGGGGGATGGAGGAACCGAAATGCAAGAAGGTGCCAGGGTACCCAGGCCTCACTCAGGCCTCATTATGTCCCCATCTGCCCTCTGACAGCCCTGGGATTTAATTTCAATGCCCTCCACTCAATGCTCAGGGGACTTCCGCTCTGAGCCTGAGATGCTGCCACACGTGTGGGCTTTCCTGTGGGTGACAAGGGGTGCTCATCCCAGTGGATCAAGTGATCTCTCTGCAGGCTCGGTGACCTCCAGGGGCCACCCTGTGAGCAGCGGGCTGTGTGTGTGTTGGGGGGGAGCATGCTTAAGAAGACAGTGAAGGGATCACATTTATGGAGCACCTGCTGTATCCCAACCCATGAGGAAACCAGAATTCAGAGAGGTTAAGGGAGTTGCCCAGGCTCACCCAGCAACAAATAAGGAGACTTGAACTCAGTTCTTCTGATCCCAGGTCCCGGGGTCATGATACAAAGTGCCCGTGATATGCCCGGTACCGTGTGGTAATCGTGCGGATGTTAGCACATCCGATCCTCACAGCAACACTGCGAGGAAAGGAGAGAGACCATCTCAATTTTTCAGAAGAGAAGTCTGACCATCAGAGAAGTTAAGAAACAGTGATAAATGGTTAAATCAGAACGATAGTGACATTTGTGGTAGTAATGGTAGCCAACAGTTACACCGTGACTACTCCGTGCCCAGCACTGGCCCAAGTGCTTTGCATATGAAGCTAACTTTTTTTTCCCTTTAGATTTTATCTATTTATTTACTTACTTACTTACTTACTTACTTGTTTATTTAGAGCACAAGCTGGGGGCAGGGGCAGAGGGAGAAGGAGAAGCAGACTCCCCGCTAAGCGGAGAGCCTGATGCGGGACTCGATTCCATGACCCTGAGATACACCCCGAGCCAAAACCTAGAGTCAGACGCTTAACGGACTGAGCCCCCAGGTGCCCCTGCAGCTAACCTTTTTAATTCTCACAGCCACCCTTCCAGAAACATGCTATCCTCCCCCCAGCCCATTTTACAAATCAGGAAACAGAGAGAAAAGAGGTTGAGTCTGAGCCCAGGTCTGTCCGCATCCTGAGCCTGGACTGTAATGAGCCGGCCCCCCATGTTCTGAAGTAACCAGCCCAGACTCGTCCTAGAAGCCAACACCAGGGCCACCTGGAGAGGTGACTAGTCTCTTGCCTTGGGGTGTGCAGACTGAGGAGGTCAAGGATGCCGTGGGACGGGGACTAAGCAGAGGTGCCCCTTGCGCTCCGTGCTGTGTGTGGGGAAGTGTCCATGTTCATAACCCGCTTGATCCCTCAACTGGTGGCTTCTGCAGTCCAGGTGGGTAGGTGGGTCAGCGGGGACACCCCAGAGGGGTGGGCCCCAAATTCTGGAGGCTCCACAGAGCCCAGTCCTTCCCTGCCCTTGCCTTTGGAAGGCAGTGACCTCTCCTGAGCCAGGCCTGGGCACACCAAGGAGCTGCCTGGCAGCCAGCAAAGTGGAAAACATTGCTCTAATTAGTCTAATATGTGCGCTATGTGCAGTGTGCATCTGGGACAGCCCCTAAATGTTGCAGGTTCCTGTCCCACAGTGGCCCAGCTGGGCCTGGCTGCCTGGTAGGAGGCCTGAGGCCTGCCAGGCTGGAGATTGCTGTGGGGCCTCCTTCCTTCCTTCTTTCTTCCCCTAGACAGGTAGTGAACATCTACCGTTTGCCAGGTATGCTCTGGTCTTGGGTCCGAAATGTTGGTGTTCATATCTCAGTTCCATCCCTTAAAGTTCCCGGGGTGGGGACTGCCTTCTCTCTTCCAGTCTGCTGTGTTGGAGAGAAGGGCTCTGACAGCTCTGGTTTCAAATTCAGGGACCACCATTTGCTCACTGTGTAACCTCAGGTCAGTTGCTTCGCTTCCTCCTCTATAAAATGGGCGGACAACTCAGCCTGTGCCAGGTGTGGCCATGAGGGCCCCTCCCAAGGTCGGTTAAAGCCTCACCTCCTTCAGGAAGTGATCCTCAATCCCAAATAGCTTCTCCCTGCTGGACTCTGGCAGTGCCTGCCCTGACCACACACTGGGAACCATCGGGGCGGAAAGGTGAGAAGTGACTCCTGAGCTCCGCCCCTCCCTCCACATGTTGCCCAGGGGAACTGACACCCTCTCTGGGACTCGCCTGAGATAACACAGTGAGCTAATGGCAGAGTCAGCGCTAGAGCTGAGGCCTCAGGACTCCCTCTCCAGTGCTCTTCTCAAAACAGGGCTTTCCAGAGGCAGCTCAGCTGGTGGTGAAGAGCACTGCTTGGTAGTTTGATGAACCTGAGTCTGAATCCCAACTGCCCCAATTCTTAGCTGGGGGACCCGGGGCAGCTAATTTCATCTTGCCGGACCTCAGTCTCTGCATCTGTAAATGGGGATGAGAATTATATTGTTGTTAGAATGTGTGTTGCAACAGGCCCTTGGGGGAAGCCTGGGGTATGAGAGTCACTGGCTCCCTCTGGGCCTCGGCTATGAATAGATACTCCCCGTTCTGGGAAGCCAGAGGTGAGGTCGGTCATGGTGAGCCCGAGAAGAGTGTGGGCCCTGGAGACATGCTGGTTCAAAGCCTGGCTTTATTTCTTCTCAGCTGTGTGACTTTGGGCAAATTACTGAATCCCCCTGGGCCTCAGTTCCCCATCTGCTAAAACAAAGTTAATATAGAAACTCTCCTCATTGATGGTGGAATGAGTTAATACTAGTGAAATATTTGAATAGTACCTGGAAGCAAGGCTTACAGGTTAAATAAAATACAAATGTCTACCTTATGTTCCTCTCCCTGATCAGTACACTGTGGGAGGTCTAATGCCTTCCTTTCTAGGGGGTGCATGAGGAGGTGGCAGAACCCACGGGATGGGGCATCTGGGACATCAGCCCCTGACCCAACCCCTCAGCTGTCTCTTGGGTGGAGAGAAAGCTCTGGGCTGGGCAAGGGCTGTCCTGAGCAGCAGTAACTGGGTGAGCAAAGATCAGACTGCTTGTGTCTACTCAGCATCTTTTTAAAAATTCCATTTGAGTATGTGCTTCCGAGTGTACATAATATGCTGGTTCAGAAACACATCTATACTTTGTAAATAAATATCCATCTGCAGGGGCCGTGTGCTCATTCAGGCTCATTTGACCTAAATTAATAACAGGCTTTGCCAGGGGCCAGACGCTACACGGAGCACCTCACGTACATCCCTCCGTTTCAGGTGAGGCAAGGAGGATGGGGCTGTGCGGCTGATTTTAACCTAAAAGGTCTAAAATGAAAGAAACGATCCCCTTCACGAGGATGGATTTTCATCCTGTGTTCCCCAACATGCACACACCACACCATCAGCACCACCTACTTGTACTTCTTCTGGCTTGTTAGAGGAAACTTGATGTTTCTTTCTGGCATAACTGTGGCCCCATTTCCTGTGAACACAGACCCCAGCTTGGTCAGCAGGCGGAGTGGCCTCCCGCTGCAGTGTCTGGATCTCCAGTTACATCCCCTTCTCTGGATTCACAAGGTTCGTCCCCAGCCCACCCCGGGACGGGGAGGGATTTTTGCGGGCTGCAGTAGGACTGGCAGAGAGCACAGAGGAGCCGAGCCTGGGGCTGGCACACAGTAGGTCTGTTTGTCTGTCTGTGGGCGGCAGCTCGTCCATCTCTCCGCTCCCTGGCATTGGCTAGTGGAGCCCGTCTGACGCCTCTTCGCAGTCACACACAGGAGGTGCCAGTAAATGCTTCCCGCGAGAAGAAATGGGAGAGCCGGTCCTATAGGGTCCTCCTGTGTGAGAACAAAATGTCCAGTCCAGTCCCAGAAAGCCGGCCAGGCTCCAGGTTGGGTCCCGCTACTTACTGGTTGAGTTCAGAATTAAGCTGCCAAGGAGAGGCTTAGGACATAAGAGGAAAGCAAAGGGACTGTGAGAGGCCAGTGCCTCTCACCACTCAACTTCATTTTACAGAAGGGAAAACTGAGCCCCAGAGGGACACCATGAGTTGGGTAGAGTCTCTGGCAAGCCCGGGACATGGCCTCGGTCACTGGATGAATGAGCGTGGACAGAGCAGAGCCTGCCCCTCGTCAAGGACCGAACCCTAACCATGCGGACCCCTCCCTGGAGATTATAGGAAAGAGCTTCAGGGACGTGGCAGGAGGTCAGTTGCCTGGGGCCTCAGAAGGGGCCTGGAAACCCACCGAGGCTGGGTCTGACCCTTCTCAACCCCTGCCGTGGGAGGGCAGTGAGGGTGCCAAGAGTGAGGCCTGGCTGCCTGGTTCAGATGAGGCAGACACACCTGCTTCCACGCCTCCGATGTGGCCCTGGGCAGAGACGAGCTCCTCTCTCCAAGCCTCGGTTTCTCCATCTGTATGACAGGAATGATAAGTGACAGTCCCACTCATAACAACAGGACTCCTCACTGGGCCTCCTCACCTGCCCTCTCCCCCCCCCCCCCGGTTGGAATTGTCAGTCCCTCTAGGACCCCGTGTCCCAGATGAAAACATTCTTGCCTTTGGGCCGCAGCACCCCGCCCCCCGCCACTGTCATTGGCCTGCGCAATGCCTGTTTCCTTCTCTTCTCTCAGCCCCCACTTGTCACCTTCTGCAGTGGAGGCCACCATCCTCCCGTGCGCAACGCCTGCGCCTTCGTGCGCGTTCTAGCAGAGCGCGGATGCTTCTGGTTTTCAGGACACTTGTTCAGAGGCAGCCATTCATACAGAAAAGGGCAGAAAGGACGCCTGGGGAGCTTCGTGAATCTTCACCACTTGAACACACCCGTGTCCCCCAGATCAGGAAGCAGCAGCCTCCAATGCCTGTGGCGCCGAAGCTCCCACGTGCCCCCCTCCCCCAAGAGGGGCCGCTCTCCGGGCTTCTAACACCAGAGAATCGTCGCGGCTGTGTTTGAACTTTATGCCAATGGGATGGCGCCCCGCATACCCCCTCGTGTCTGGCTCCTTTTGCTCAATAGCACGCCTGTGAGATTCATCCAGGTTGGTGTAGAGTTCACTCCAGTTCGTCTGTTCTCTTGGCTGCCTGTTCTTCCCTGGTACGAAACCGCTCCAGAACATCTGCCCAGTGACCTGTTGCTGGACGCCAGGAGCCTTTCCAGCGAACGGCTGCTCGGACCGGCGCTGCACATTCTCGAACAAGGTTTTCGGCGATCGTGGTATTTATCCTTTGGTTAAACAGCCCGCCGTGGCATTGCCAGGTCCCACACGTGTACGCGCGGCTTTGGTAGGTTCTGCAAAGTTTTCCAAATGCCTGCACCGTTTTACACTCCCGGAGTCCCAGCCGCTGCACACCCTCACCAACCTGCGGCGGTCTGTCCTTCTCATCGTGGCCACTATGACGGGCGCACCTGCAGTGGTAATTCTTGTGAACGATCGTGTTTCACGGCTCTCGTTTTATTTTGCTCTTTTCCCCATGCGGCCCCTGCATCTCTCCTACGAGCTGGAAGCAACAGCTCAACATTCTATATCCGCCAGGCTTCAGAGCTTAATCCTACGTCTGTTACCTCACTTCATCCTCACAGACACCCGGGGACGGAAGCACCATTCTACAGATGATGAAACTGAGGCACAGAGAGGGAAAGACCCCTCCCCAGACACAGCTGATCGTTGCAGTTGGCAGGAGGGGAAGGGGTCAAGGTGAAAACCTTCAGCGTGACTTAGGGGTGCTGTGACCTGACCTCTCCTTTGCTTAAAATGTGACTGAGGGGCAGACAGGGGCCCCTGTGCCTGTCCTCGCCGCCCCAATTCTGGGAAAATCCTCGTCCTTCCCCAGCCTCAGTCTTTCCATCTGTAAAATGAAAGTGTCCAGCAGCAGGCACAAAGAAATGCGTGTTTGCTGCAGTAAATGACATCCACGATCTCGCATCCAGACCCCACAGCATACCAGTAGTCTGCACGTGCTATGTCATTTGCTTCTCACACGGTGCCTTCAAACTGTACATGGAAATCTCCCTGTCAAGGCCAAGGACACTGAGACCCAGAGAGGTGGACACACTTGGGCAGAGTCACACAGCAGGTGACAATGCTGGGATTTTGAACTCATGTGACCCACTGGCATGCCTGATCCCCTCAAGAATCCCCTGTTCGGGGCTTCGCCCGAGCTTTGTAACCTGCAGGAGTGCGTAGGTGTTGGAATGTATTTTTAAATTGTCAAAGAAAGATATTATTCATTTTTGCCCCAAATTAAGAGGCAACATAATGTTAGCCACAGAGTTGCTATATGTTCCAGCAATTCTGTTTCTAGGTAGATACTCAAGAGAAATGAAGACGTTTGTCCACATGTGAGTAATCATAGCAGCATTATTCATAAGAGCTAAAAAGTAGTTACAAAACCACACATCTGGGGTGCCTGGGTGGCTCAGTTGGTTAAGCAACTGCCTTCGGCTCAGGTCATGATCCTGGAGTCCCGGGATCAAGTCCCGCATCGGGCTCCCTGCTCGGCGGGGGGTCTGCTTCTCCCTCTGACCCTCCCCCCTCTCATGCTCTCTCTCTCTCATTCTTTCTCTCAAATAAATAAATAAAATCTTAAAAAAAAAAAACAAAACCACACATCTATCAATTGATTAATGAATAAACAAAATTCAGTAGAGCCACACAATGAAATACTACTTGGCAATAAAAAGAAACATGGTCCTGGCCCACGTCACGGCATCAGTGGACCCTGAACAGATGATGCTAGGTGAAAGAAGCCAGTCACAAAAGGCCACAGATTGTAGGAGTCCACTTACATGAAAAATGCAGTCTAGGTCGATCAGAGAATGTAGATTCGTGATTGCCTAGAGCTGGGGGTGGGGAGGTAGGGATGGGGAGTGAGTGCTAATGGATGAGGGTTTCTTTTGGCAAGATGAAAATATTCTAAAATTAGATGGTGGTAATAGTTGCACAATTCTGGAGCTAGGCTAAAAAGCACTGAATTGCACATTTTAAATGGATGAATTTTATGGCATAAGATTATATCTCAATAAAGCTGTTTTTTAAAAAACTAAAAGGAAGTGGCTGAACATGAAGCATGCTGGACAGGACACCCTCCAGGGGGCTTTCTGCAGGCTTGTTACTGCCCTCACCCCCCACGGCCTGCTTCTTGAATTGGGCAACATGCCCCTTGCCACCCTGTGCTGCCAACTGTTTTGAGTGCATAACAAAGAGTCATCGGAATGAATTCAGTGTCCAGGCTTTGCAGGGAAAATTCTTGGCCCGTCTTCCACGCTGTTTGTCTTTCTAGGCCCCTGAACCATCTCTTCTGGTTCCTTCATTCTTTTGTTTATTCATCAGGCATCTATTGAGCACCTACTGTGTACTAGGTTTATTCATCAGGCATTTATTGAGCACCTACTGTGTACTAGGTTCTGTGCTGGTCATTGAGACAGATTCGATCCAGTTCCTGACCTCCGGGAGTAAACATGTTGTCAGGGAAACAGACCCAGAAAGAGAAATGAGGGATCTGATATGATACATCTGGCCACGTATTTGATGACTATTTATTGAGTACCTACTACATACTGGGACTGTGTTAGGGGCTGGGGACATCACGGTGCGAGAGAAGCAGCATGGCCGTGACTTGGGTGCTCAGACCACAGCGGCACTGCCTGGGGTCAGGTCCTGGCTCTGCCGCCGACCAGTTCCGTGACCCTCTCTGTAAAGTGGGGACGAAAATGGAATCTCTGCTCTGGGGCTACAGTTAAGATGAAAGGACTCCATACACGCAAAGTGCCTGCAACAGTGCCTCCTCCCCACTAAGAACCAGGTGCACACTGGCTATCATCACAATTGTCGTGGCAGTTCTGCTAGATGTGAATAGTCTGGGGGAAGCAGAGGTAAGAAAGCCAGCGGGAAAACATATCTCCGCCTCCAGCGCCCTCCCTCCTTCTGTTGTTGTTCTGAAACTCACCCCTGCTGTTGGCTAAGCACTGGCTTCCTCAGCGCTGGGGGCCTGAAGAGCTGTGATGTAAGACGAGCCTTTATCTGATGGGCAGGCTCAGAATGGCTGATTAGATGCTTGGGACCAGGGTACGGGTGGGTGGGGCAGGCAGCCCTAGGGAGTTGGCAGGCTCCAGACCCCAAGTTATTCATGCCACCCCCTCCTGCCTGCCACTCCTCCACTATGACTGGAACCCAATGAGCATCCTGGATCTGAGGGTTTGAGGACCACCCTGCCTCCCAGGACACGCCATGCCCTGTGGTCTGATCCGCAGCTTGGGTGGGGTCTCTGAGCACTCCGTAGGGAAGAGGGCCTTCTCTCTGGGCCCTGTTTCCCCACATGTGAAATAGGGTTTAATTTCTCTGACCATTCCAGATTTGGGGAGGGGGATGATTTCCTAAGCCCCTCTAGCCTGTGCCTGGTACACAGTGGTCTGCTCCCTGTCCATGTCCTTCTGTCTGGCCACACCACCCGCCCTGAGTTCCTCACACGTGCTCTGTCCCCAGGCTGGCTGCATAATTCAGAGGCCCCCTAACTCCCATTCAAAAGGCAGGAATTAAGTATCACTAAAGGGACTAAGATATAAACCTTTTCCATTCTTCCATGATCTTTCTTTCTCTCTCTTCTTTCTGTCTGTCTGTCTGTCTCTCTCTCTCTCATGGTGCTAGTTAATGTCACACTCCCTTGAGTGCAGAGACGCTCATGGGGAACCCACACCTGCACCTGGTGTTGCCCCACAACTCAGCACTCACGTGCCCACGGACTTCTGGCTTGCCCCTCCCACCGGCTGCCTGATCGATGATGAGCTGTGCCCCAGAAAGGGGTGGCAGACCAAGCCAAACATCTCCCCTCCCTGGGCCTGCCACCCCAACCCACTGGGACAGGCAACCCACAGGGTACTGTGCCATCCCTGCTGGGACAGTGTCCTTCTGCACTAGGTACCTAGATCCCCCTGCTGGAGTGGCCCCCATATGCCTTCTGGTGCTGTCAGCTTGGGGCCAGAGCACCCATTGCCTTGCCCTTCTCTGAGATGCTGTGGGCGTGTGACCCTGACCCTCTCTCTGCCAGCACCCAAGCCCCTGGCAGAAGACACGTCAACGGGATGGGGCCTGGGATGCCAGGGGGTGGGATCATGGCGGGACCTTGAACGTCCTCAAGTAGTGGCAGGAGGTGGGACCACGTCCAGCGTGCCAGCCGAGCTTCCAAGTCCCCTGGTACACACTCCACGTTGCACTTAAGCAACACAAATTCGAAGATAAAATTATGACAAATTTCAAGGCAGCAATTGGGAGCTTTAAAGCCCAAGCGTGGGGCTCTTCTGAGCAACTGCACTGGGCATGTACCCCTGAGGGTGGCCTTGTCCTGCCCCCTCCTGCTTCCTGGCCTCTGCACAGACTGCTCTCTCTGCTTGGAATGCCCTCCCCTCCCAACCTTCCCCAATTCTCTCATAAACACTCAGCGCTTGCCCAGGTAGCCCTCCCCTGCGGAGTCCTGCATCAGTCCCTCCTCCCGAACTGGAGGCTCATGAGAGCAGGTAGGGATTGTAGCTGTTCATCCTCAGAGTCCACAGAGTCCACAGCACCTAGAAGGTGCTCAGTAGCGTGCAAGGAGTGATCAACTGCATGAGTGGCCAGGGGTGAAGGGGAAGGATGGTGTGTCTCCCAGGCACGGGAGGCAGCGAGGCAGCTGCCTGGCAGCTCCTGGTGTGTTTGGGAGAATGTCACGTCCTGGGTCTGAAGGCAGGTGAAGGGATGGTGATGCACAATGTCAAGTTGGGGTCAAACTGTCAAGAGCCTCAAATGCCAGGCTAAGGATTCAGGCTGTATCCTGGAGAGGGCAGAGTCCTCCCCTTGGAGGACTGACCCTAGCAGTGTCGTGCTAGGGTCAAGCTGTGCTGAGTGTGGATTGGAGAGGGTTAAGACCGGAGGCAGGGAGCCTGGTGGAGGCTGGTACAATTGTCCAGATCTTGGGGAAGTGAAGGAGGAGGGAGAGCAGAACCCTTTAGCAGCTGCCCCCGGTGCTGGGTCCCACACAGCCTAATCCCTCTCTCTGGCACATCTTAGAACGAGGTGCTTAAATGTCATGTGGCAGCTGAGCCCCATGCTATGGGATTATTGTATGCTCATGGACAACTCGAGCCCCGAGGAGGGCAGGGC